ACACTTGTGGCTCTCAGAGTGGAGAGGTGCAAGCAGGAAGTCACTTACACTTGTGGCTCTAAGAGTGGACGACTTTTGAGACGTCTCAGAGTGGACGACTTTTGAGACGTCTCAGGAGTGGAGAGGTGCAAGCAGGAAGTCACTTACACTTGTGGCTCTCAGAGTGGACGACTTTTGAGACGTCTCAAGAGTGGAGAGGTGCAAGCAGGAAGTCACTTACACTTGTGGCTCTCAGAGTGGACGACTTTTGAGACGTCTCAAGAGTGGAGAGGTGCAAGCAGGAAGTCACTTACACTTGTGGCTCTCAGAGTGGACGACTTTTGAGACGTCTCAAGAGTGGAGAGGTGCAAGCAGGAAGTCACTTACACTTGTGGCTCTCAGAGTGGACGACTTTTGAGACGTCTCAAGAGTGGAGAGGTGCAAGCAGGAAGTCACTTACACTTGTGGCTCTCAGAGTGGACGACTTTTGAGACGTCTCAAGAGTGGAGAGGTGCAAGCAGGAAGTCACTTACACTTGTGGCTCTCAGAGTGGACGACTTTTGAGACGTCTCAAGAGTGGAGAGGTGCAAGCAGGAAGTCACTTACACTTGTGGCTCTCAGAGTGGACGACTTTTGAGACGTCTCAAGAGTGGAGAGGTGCATGCAGGAAGTCACTTACACTTGTGGCTCTCAGAGTGGACGACTTTTGAGACGTCTCAAGAGTGGAGAGGTGCAAGCAGGAAGTCACTTACACTTGTGGCTCTCAGAGTGGACGACTTTTGAGACGTCTCAAGAGTGGAGAGGTGCAAGCAGGAAGTCACTTACACTTGTGGCTCTAAGAGTGGACGACTTTTGAGACGTCTCAAGAGTGGAGAGGTGCAAGCAGGAAGTCACTTACACTTGTGGCTCTCAGAGTGGACGACTTTTGAGACGTCTCAAGAGTGGAGAGGTGCAAGCAGGAAGTCACTTACACTTGTGGCTCTCAGAGTGGACGACTTTTGAGACGTCTCAAGAGTGGAGAGGTGCAAGCAGGAAGTCACGTACACTTGTGGCTTTCAGAGTGGAGAGGTGCAAGCAGGAAGTCACTTACACTTGTGGCTCTCAGAGTAGACGACTTTTGAGACATCTCAAGAGTGGAGAGGTGCAAGCAGGAAGTCACTTACACTTGTGGCTCTCAGAGTGGACGACTTTTGAGACGTCTCAGGAGTGGAGAGGTGCAAGCAGGAAGTCACTTACACTTGTGGCTCTCAGAGTGGACGACTTTTGAGACGTCTCAAGAGTGGAGAGGTGCAAGCAGGAAGTCACGTACACTTGTGGCTATTAGAGTGGAGAGGTGCAAGCAGGAAGTCACTTACACTTGTGGCTCTCAGAGTAGACGACTTTTGAGACATCTCAAGAGTGGAGAGGTGCAAGCAGGAAGTCACTTACACTTGTGGCTCTCAGAGTGGACGACTTTTGAGACGTCTCAGGAGTGGAGAGGTGCAAGCAGGAAGTCACGTACACTTGTGGCTTTCAGAGTGGAGAGGTGCAAGCAGGAAGTCACTTACACTTGTCGCTCTAAGAGTGGACGACTTTTGAGACGTCTCAAGAGTGGAGAGGTGCAAGCAGGAAGTCACTTACACTTGTGGCTCTCAGAGTAGACGACTTTTGAGACGTCTCAAGAGTGGAGAGGTGCAAGAAGGAAGTCACTTACACTTGTGGCTCTCAGAGTAGACGACTTTTGAGACGTCTCAAGAGTGGAGAGGTGCAAGCAGGAAGTCACTTACACTTGTGGCTCTCAGAGTAGACGACTTTTGAGACGTCTCAAGAGTGGAGAGGTGCAAGCAGGAAGTCACTTACACTTGTGGCTCTCAGAGTGGACGACTTTTGAGACGTCTCAAGAGTGGAGAGGTGCAAGCAGGAAGTCACTTACACTTGTGGCTCTCAGAGTGGACGACTTTTGAGACGTCTCAAGAGTGGAGAGGTGCAAGCAGGAAGTCACTTACACTTGTGGCTCTCAGAGTGGACGACTTTTGAGACGTCTCAAGAGTGGAGAGGTGCAAGCAGGAAGTCACTTACACTTGTGGCTCTCAGAGTGGACGACTTTTGAGACGTCTCAAGAGTGGAGAGGTGCAAGCAGGAAGTCACTTACACTTGTGGCTCTCAGAGTGGACGACTTTTGAGACGTCTCAAGAGTGGAGAGGTGCAAGCAGGAAGTCACTTACACTTGTGGCTCTCAGAGTGGACGACTTTTGAGACGTCTCAAGAGTGGAGAGGTGCAAGCAGGAAGTCACTTACACTTGTGGCTCTCAGAGTGGACGACTTTTGAGACGTCTCAAGAGTGGAGAGGTGCAAGCAGGAAGTCACTTACACTTGTGGCTCTCAGAGTGGACGACTTTTGAGACGTCTCAAGAGTGGAGAGGTGCAAGCAGGAAGTCACTTACACTTGTGGCTCTCAGAGTGGACGACTTTTGAGACGTCTCAAGAGTGGAGAGGTGCAAGCAGGAAGTCACTTACACTTGTGGCTCTCAGAGTGGACGACTTTTGAGACGTCTCAAGAGTGGAGAGGTGCAAGCAGGAAGTCACTTACACTTGTGGCTCTCAGAGTGGACGACTTTTGAGACGTCTCAAGAGTGGAGAGGTGCAACCAGTTCCTGAGAGCCGCACTCCAGCGGCATGCTTTGCGGAAATGCATAGACACCGAGGGGAGGGGGGGGATCTCTAGTGGAGTTGGCTTAAATCTCAGATTGGAGCTTTTGGGTGATTACGAACAAAGGCGCAATGCTGGAATCTTGTGTGTGACATCCAACCCATGAGAGCACTGTAACACTAGTATACTACCCTGTGTTATAAGTGCCGACACTGTGACCAGCACTGGCTGTGATTGTAGCCTAGCCCTTATTCTCCTCTCGTCCAACCCTCTCCTCACCCTCTTCGCCCACGCCCCCCTCCTCACCCTCTCCCCCCAACCCTTTCTCCCTGTCCCCCCTCTCCCTCACCTGGTGGTCCGCCCAGCTCCCTGAAATCCTCCCAGCCCCATCCAGCCCCCAGGCGAACTCAACACCCTCCTTGCCCTCCGCCCCATCCTCCCCCTCGTTCCCCCCTCCCTGTCCCCCCGCTTTCCCACATGGTCCGCCCAGTTCCCCGAGATGCTATCTGCCCCATCCAGCCCGCAGGCACAAGCAAGGCCCTCGTCGCCCACATCGTCCTCCCCCGCCGCCCTGGCCTCCCTGGGCTCGCCGGCCATTCACCTCATGCTCGCCCAGTGCCTCACCTCCCAGCTTCCCCCACACAAAAGGGTCTGTACTTTCTTTTTCTCCTCTCCCCCCTCTCCCCCCTCGTCCCCCTCGTCCCCCCTCCTCTTCCCCCTCCACCACCCCTCCTCTTCCCCCTCCACCCCTCCTCTTCCCCCTCCACCCCCTGCTCTTCCCCCTCCACCCCCTCCTCTTCCCCCTCCTCGTCCCCCTTCTTCCCGTTCCCCCTCCCCCCTGGCCTCCCTGGGCTCCACTGCCATCCACCTCATGCTCGCCCCATGCCCCTCCTCCCAGCTGCCTCCTCTATAAACGGGTTGGTGCTTTCTTTTCCTCCTCTCCCCCCTCCGTTTCCTCCTTCCCCCTCTTTCATCCCCCCTCCTCCTCGCCTCCCTCGCCCTCTTCCCCCTCTCAATCTTCCTCCGCCCTGGTCTCCCTGGGCTCCCCACTGCTCTCTCACTGCCTCTACTCCCAGCTGCCTCCGCACAAAAGGGTAGGTCCTTCTTCCTTCCCCCCTCTTTCTTTCCGCTCCATACACCGCATGCTTGCTCACCTCGTTTTGTCCTCGTGAATGATGCTTCTCCATCCCACCTCCATCTCCTCCATCATGTATCCTGGGAAATTACAGCAACGTTCTTCCATTCCATGTTGTGTGCTCAGACAACCCAAGAGTCTTCTGAGTCGACTCAATCGTCCTCCTCCCCGGGCCCCTCCACGCAGGACTATTCAGCGGCATTCTTCCACTTTGTCTACTCGGACGACCCGGCCCTCTTTGCTCACAGCCTGGCGGAATACGCACAGCAGGTAGCAACAGGGATGCGTGCCTGAAGGTGTTAGAAATCGATAACTTTTATTGAGTAATGAGCCAAGAGGTTCTATAACACAAAAGAAGGAGCAAGAGATGAGTGCAAGAGAAGCAAACCCTATTGGCCACTAAGTTGGCCAATGGGTGAGCTGGCTTGTAGCCCAAGTTGGTTGGGATTGGTTGGCCTAAGGACCAAAGGTTGGCAAGTGCCAACCAAGGACCAAGGACTATATCCAATCTTGACCAACCACAAGTTGTGGTTGGGGGGTACACCCATCAACCCCACAATAGAACAAATGACTACACCTTCTAATCTAGCCTATGGATGTCGTATAAAATATAAGATTACAACAGAAGGTGCTTTGCACACAGCATTCTATGCGATAGCAACAGGGGGCGTGTGTGCGTGCTGCACAGAGCTTGCATCCGGCCTTTGATCTTTTGCCTAGCAATGGCTCCACGCTCGATTCACCATGTTTCATCCATCTTCGGCGGTCATCTTCCACGCTGGATTGCCGCCCTTACTTCCCACGATTCGTGTTTCCTCTGGTTCCTTCCTTCCGTTGCACTGTGATTTGCACTGCTACCTTTGCGAAAGGCATTTGGCCTTCTTCTTAGGCTTCTTGTCCCTCTGAATGCTTCCTTCTGTTTTGCTCCAGTGCTACCTCGGCGAGAGGGATCTCGTCATTGCCAGGGCTGTCCTCCAGTAAGTGCTGTCTCATGCAATCGTGTCCTTCCTAGTCAACGGAAAGGATTCCCTCACTTTTGGCTCTATGTGTGATGTCCACGTCCATCGCACCACCGCTTTCTCAGTGTCTCACTTGATATCAGCATGTCAGTGAGTGGGCTGCCTGCCGGCATGCAACACCTCCTTGTTGAAGGAGAATTTAGAGTTCATCTGGAGGCTGTGCGGACTATCATGTTTGGGGTCTGCCATGCCCTGATCGCTTATTCTTCAGTGTGGATAGAGATTGAATTTCACCACAATGTCCACTCTTTCGCTTATTTTCCCACCTCCCCCTTCTCTTGCCTCTCCATATTCCTCACGCTTTGAAGCCCTCAAAGCAATAACACTGTGTAGCAATAATGTGGCTCAGCTTGTCGCCCTCCTTGCCTCACCCACGGCCCCCTTTTTTCAGGTGTTCGGCAGCAGGGCGACTGCAGTGACAAATCTTTGGACCATTCCTCGCCCATGCCCCCCCTTCCCATGCTGCCCCTCCCCGTGCCCTCTCTCCCCATGCCCCCCCTCGCCCATGCCTGCTCTCGCCGATGCACCTTTCTGGCCATGCCGCCCCTCTCCCAGGTGCCTGGCGGCAGGGCGGCTGCAGCAGGGCAAGCAACTCTGGGAGGAGCTAAAGTCGCAGCAGGCAGGCATATGGGGAGCGCACAACACTGCTGCTGATGCTGCTGCTGATGGTGCTGCTGATGGTGCTGCTGACGCTGATGGTGGCAGTGGTGCTGCTGGGTCCGACAGTGCGGGTGCTACAGCAGGCTGGTGGCAGGAGTCTCCCCTCCTGCGTTTCACTGATCTCCTCCTCACCGCGTAAGAACTCACCACACCACTCCACCTGCTCTCACCACCACTCCACATCCTCTCACCCCGCACCTGCTCTCACCAGCCCCCCTCTCCCACCACCCCATCTGCACCCACCACCCCACCGTTCATCCCCTCACCACCATGCAGGTTTCATCCCAGGGCACCAACGTTGCTGTCTCATCTGCTTCTTTCCCTAACGCTCCCCCTTCCCTCCAAACTCCCCCCCTTCCCCCTCTCCACGACCCCTCACCATCACTCAGAGCTGAATTTTAAGATGTCTCATAATCCCTCTTCCTCCCCTCACCATTACTCAGAGCTGACCGAAGGGCACCATCGCTGTTGTCTCTCTGCTTTTTCTTCCTTCCCTCAACACTCTCCCCACCCACCTCTTCTCATCCTCACACCACCAATCAGAGCTGACCGCAGGGCACCATCGCTGTTGTCTCATCTGCGCCGCCGCTACGAGCCATCCCTCCAACGCGACCCTGCCTTCCCTCCTGTACGCCCCGTCAAGGGTCCCTGCTCCTCACTGTATCACGCCTACTCTCCTCACTGTATCACGCCTACCCTCCTCACTGTATCACGCCTACCCTCCTCACTATCACACCTACCCTCCTCACTGTATCACGCCTACCCTCCTCACTTGAGAACTTCCCTTCCCTTTCTCACACTCCCTTGACCTTCCCTCCCTCTCCTCCCCTCTTCTTCTCGTCCCTCACTTCGCTGGCCGTTCCTATCCCCTTGTGTCTGCTGCTTTGCCGTTGCCTTTAGACATTAGCACTGCTCATGTGCCTTTAGCCATTAGCACTGCTCATGTGCCTTTAGCACATACCGACCCCACCGCACCTTTTCGTCCCTGCCCGAAACTGTGTGATCAAATTCTAACCCCCCTTGGCCTCGCCCACGCAGCTGTTAGACGACATTGCCTTCCGCCTCTTTGGAGTGCCGCGGCCTGCAGCAGCACCCAACTTCCTCACAGACATGCTCAAGGTGAGACATGCTCAAGGTGAGACATGCTCAAGGTGAGACATGCTCAAGGTGAGACATGCTCAAGGTGAGACATGCGCAAGGTGAGACATGCTCAAGGTGAGACATGCTCAAGGTGAGACATGCTCAAGGTGAGACATGCTCAAGGTGAGACATGCTTATAGTGAGACATTCTTGAGGTGAAACTCAGTCATTTTGAGACACGCTCTACGTGAGACGTGCCTAAGGAGAGATGTGCTGAAAGTGAGACGTGCTTAAGATGAGGCAACCTAAGATAGAAAGATATTCTTAATGAGTGGCACGGCATGTTGCGACTTCACTTTGAGCTGGCCAAGGGAAGAGGAGCAGGCAATGCCAGGCATGGTGTGAGGTGCAGGCATGGTGTGAGGTGCAGGCATGGTGTGAGGTGCAGGCATGGTGTGAGGTGCAGGCATGGTGTGAGGTGCAGGCATGGTGTGAGGTGCTGGCATGGTGTGAGGTGCAGGCATGGTGTGAGGTGCAGGCATGGTGTGAGGTGCAGGCATGGTGTGAGGTGCAGGCATGGTGTGAGGTGCTGGCATGGTGCAGGGAGCGTTCCCACGATGGATGGATGTGCATCACATCACATTCCCATGCTTCACACCTCCCCCACCCACGCTTCATGCCCCTTCATGTAGTGCGTCTTGTGCTTGTCTCCATCTCTATTTTGCGTCTCCTGCATCCCATCTCTCCTCTCTACCCCCTGCCCTCTGCTGCTGCATGTGCAGCTTGTGATGGGGGAGGAGGCACCAGCATAGCTGTTGGTGAATTCGATTCTCTTGTACAGAGTGACTAACTTGTGCATCATCATGGTTCATGGCTTCATGTGCTTATCTTCGCAGTGCATTATCCAATGTCAGATATCCAAGAAATGTGACAGGTTATCAAGGTGTGTTGTTTCAAAGAGACTTACAATACAACAACCTACCGGATGATGAAGAAATCCTACATGACAAATTCTGTTTTAATCGATACCGTAGTATGTGGACAGCTTTTGGGTAACAATGAAATGCCCATGGCGTTGAAAATTTTAGTCAGTGGATCCTTACCAGGCTTTTCACTATCTTTATGCAACACGTGGTACCGAATGAAACCTCATAGGGTGGGCACACCTTCAAGGCACACTCCTCAACACCGATCAATGCCGGCTCTTTGAATCTGCCATCTGTCACCACGAACAACCCAGCCAGTCTATCTGACAGTGCGTATGGGTGTCAACACCTCCTGTCATGTCACTGCTCTGCCTTGCTCTTCTTTTTCTTCTTCGGCTTCTTCACTGCATCAGCCAGTGTGAGAGGCTCCTCCTTCATTTTGCTCCCTGCACCTGCCGCTGCCGCTGCAGCTGCATTCCCTGCATCTTCTGGTCTGGGCACTTCCTCTTCACCTTTCCCAGCAGGTGGCACGGCCCTGGCGGCAGAGGCCTTGGAGGCAGGTGCGTGTGGGGCAGCAGCGGACGGCAGCAGGTCGGCGATGGCGTCTAGTTCTGATCCCAGGCGGGCTGGGGTGGCATGGGGAGGGGAGGGGAGATGCAAGTGGTTGATGGGGAGGGGGAGGCAGGGGGGTGTGGTTTGGAGTCGACTCAAAAGTCACCTCGGACGGCAGCAGATTGGCAACGGCGTCCAGCTCTGATCCCAGAGAAAACACACGGAAGCAATGGAAGGGAGGGTGCGGAGGATGAGAGGAGGATGAGAGGAGGATGAGAGGAGGATGAGAGGAGGATGAGAGGAGGATGAGAGGAGGATGAGAGGAGGATGAGAGGAGGATGAGAGGAGGATGAGAGGAGGATGAGAGGAGGATGAGAGGAGGATGAGAGGAGGATGAGAGGAGGATGAGAGGAGGATGAGAGGAGGATGAGAGGAGGATGAGAGGAGGATGAGAGGAGGATAAGGGGCGAATGAGACGAGGCGTCACCTGCTGTTGCCCCCTTCTTGCTCTTCTTCTCGCCACCCTCCTCTTGCAACCTGTGACCCATGAGCCAACACACAAGGAGGCGCGCAGACGAGACATGAATGCAAGCAGCGGACGTCATGAGAACAGAGCAACAAGGTAGCTGAGAGCAGCGGACGTTATGAGAACAGAGCAACAAGGTAGCTGAGAGCAGCGGACGTCATGAGAACAGAGCAACAAGGTAGCTGAGAGCAGCGGACGTCATGAGAACAGAGCAACAAGGTAGCTGAGAGCAGCGGACGTCATGAGAACAGAGCAACAAGGTAGCTGAGAGCAGCGGACGTCATGAGAACAGAGCAACAAGGTAGCTGAGAGCACTTCCGTGCCCATCACGTATACCTCAGCGCCCGTGCCCATGAGTTAAAGCCCATTGCACATGGGCGCCTATGCCCTGGGGGAAGCACAAGGGGCGGCTGAAAGAAAGAGAGAGAGAGAGCCCACCATGACGACACCCCTCCTTCGAATAGAGCATCCACACCCCCTCCTGCTGCTCCCCCTCGCCCCTTATCCCCTTCGCCCTCCTCTTCTTCCTCCTCATCACCATCCTCCCCATCACTTGATTCCTCCTCCCCTTCCTCCCCCTCCTCCTCTCCATCTTCCTCCATCTGCTCCTCCTTCACCCCACCCCCTCCACCATCGGCACTCGCCTGCCCTTGCCGCACGCCCCCTCCTTTCTTCTGCATGGCAGCAATCTCCGCCACACCAATCACCCCAGCCTTCAACCCGCCTGCTGCTGTGTCCAACCCCACTGTTGCTGCTGCAGCAGCCGCAGCAGGGGAGGCGTGTCGCTTCACCTTGCGCTTCTGCCTTTCGGCTGCCAGCGCTGCCACCTGGTGAGCCACAGAGATTAAGACGCAGGTGATTGGGGGGGTGGGGTGGGGGGAGCGTGTGGCAAGCAGGGCAATGTGTGGCAAGGTGAATGATGGCTTTTCGATGCCTGCAGGCCGCAGTGCAGTGCTCTTGTATCTGTGCTCTTGTATCTGTGCTCTTGTATCTGTGCTCTTGTATCTGTGCTCTTGTATCTGTGCTCTTGTATCTGTGCTCTTGTATCTGTGCTCTTGTATCTGTGCTCTTGTATCTGTGCTCTTGTATCTGTGCTCTTGTATCTGTGCTCTTGTATCTGTGCTCTTGTATCTGTGCTCTTGTATCTGTGCTCTTGTATCTGTGCTCTTGTATCTGTGCTCTTGTATCTGTGCTCTTGTATCTGTGCTCTTGTATCCTGTGCTCTTGTATCTGTGCTCTTGTATCTGTGCTCTTGTATCTGTGCTCTTGTATCTGTGCTCTTGTATCTGTGCTCTTGTATCTGTGCTCTTGTATCTGTGCTCTTGTATCTGTGCTCTTGTATCTGTGCTCTTGTATCTGTGCTCTTGTATCTGTGCTCTTGTATCTGTGCTCTTGTATCTGTGCTCTTGTATCTGTGCTCTTGTATCTGTGCTCTTGTATCTGTGCTCTTGTATCTGTGCTCTTGTATCTGTGCTCTTGTATCTGTGCTCTTGTATCTGTGCTCTTGTATCTGTGCTCTTGTATCTGTGCTCTTGTATCTGTGCTCTTGTATCTGTGCTCTTGTATCTGTGCTCTTGTATCTGTGCTCTTGTATCTGTGCTCTTGTATCTGTGCTCTTGTATCTGTGCTCTTGTATCTGTGCTCTTGTATCTGTGCTCTTGTATCTGTGCTCTTGTATCTGTGCTCTTGTATCTGTGCTCTTGTATCTGTGCTCTTGTATCTGTGCTCTTGTATCTGTGCTCTTGTATCTGTGCTCTTGTATCTGTGCTCTTGTATCTGTGCTCTTGTATCTGTGCTCTTGTATCTGTGCTCTTGTATCTGTGCTCTTGTATCTGTGCTCTTGTATCTGTGCTCTTGTATCTGTGCTCTTGTATCTGTGCTCTTGTATCTGTGCTCTTATTCCTCCACGCTTAAGCAGCAAGCAGCCTCATTTGCTTTTGGGGCACCTCACAAACAAGAAATCTCAGTGAGCATCTCACCTACCTTGCCCCCCCTGTGTTGGATCATCATGTGCTGAATCAAAGAGGAAGCGACATGGGCACCACCGCAACCCACAGTCCATGCATCCCTCAGCACCTCCATGCCACCCACCTTATTCCTCGGCACCTTGTCAGCTCCTTGTCCCACCCACCCACCTTATCCGTGAGCGTTTTGATCATGTGTTGGGCCACAGAGGCAGCCACACGGCAGCAGCGCATGAGCTGGGGGAGAGACACGCCCACACCCCCGCCCTTCTGCACGCTGCACACATCCCCCACCGCATTCACCAGCACTGTGCAGCGCCCTGCCTGGGCTGCCTCCTCCTTGAAGCTGGGATCCATGACCTGCCATGGGAGGCAGGGGTGCACAGGGGCTAGGACGGTATGAGCTTGGGGGTAGCACGCCCACATCCCCCCCCTCCTGCATGCTGCACTCATCCCCCACCGCGTTCCCCAGCACTGTGCACCACCCCGCCTGTGCCGATTCCTCCTTGAAACTCGGATCCATCACCTGGGGGGGAATGGTTGGAGGCTGGTGGTTGGAGACACAGGGGTTTCTGCACACTGCACACATCCCCGACCACATTCACCCCCAAGCTCCACAGTGGCACATTCATCCCCCGCCACATTCACCAGCCACATTCACCAGCACCGTGCACTGTGCACTGCATGTCCTGCCCCCTCCTTGAAAGTTGGGTCCATGACCTAAGAAGGGATGGTGGGAGGCGGGCGAGGCACATGGATTAGGTTGCTATACGAGCTGGCGTGGTAACATAACATCTCCTGGCGTGGTGCACACAGAGTGAGTGGTGCACACGAAGAGAGTGGTGCACACGGAGTGAGTGGTGCACACGGAGTGAGTGGTGCACACGGAGTGAGTGGTGCACACGGAGTGAAGTGGTGCACACGGAGTGAGTGGTGCACACGGAGAGAGTGGTGCACACCGAGTGAGTGGTGCACACGGAGTGAAGTGGTGCACACGGAGTGAGTGGTGCACACGGAGTGAGTGGTGCACACGGAGTGAGTGGTGCACACAGAGTGAGTGGTGCACACGGAGTGAGTGGTGCACACGGAGTGAGTGGTGCACACGGAGTGAAGTGGTGCACACAGAGTGAGTGGTGCACATGGAGAGAGTGGTGCACACCGAGTGAGTGGTGCACACGGAGTGAGTGGTGCACACGGAGTGAGTGGTGCACACGGAGTGAGTGGTGCACACGGAGTGAGTGGTGCACACGGAGTGAGTGGTGCACACGGAGTGAGTGGTGCACACGGAGTGAGTGGTGCACACAGAGTGAGTGGTGCACACGGAGTGAGTGGTGCACACCGAGTGAGTGGTGCACACGGAGTGAAGTGGTGCACACGGAGAGAGTGGTGCACACCGAGTGAGTGGTGCACACCGAGTGAGTGGTGCACACGGAGTGAGTGGTGCACACGGAGAGAGTGGTGCACACGGAGTGAGTGGTGCACACGGAGTGAAGTGGTGCACACAGAGTGAGTGGTGCACACGGAGTGAAGTGGTGCACACAGAGTGAGTGGTGCACACGGAGAGAGTGGTGCACACCGAGTGAGTGGTGCACACGGAGTGAGTGGTGCACACGGAGTGAGTGGTGCACACGGAGTGAAGTGGTGCACACGGAGTGAAGTGGTGCACACGGAGTGAGTGGTGCACACGGAGTGAGTGGTGCACACGGAGTGAAGTGGTACACACAGAGTGAGTGGTGCACACGGGGTGAGTGGTGCACACGGAGTGAGTGGTGCACACGGAGTGAAGTGGTGCACACGGAGTGAGTGGTGCACACGGAGTGAGTGGTGCACACGGAGTGAAGTGGTGCACACGGAGTGAAGTGGTGCACACGGAGTGGAGTGACTGCAATCCAATGCAATGCACCATGTCTAGGCCGGGCAAAAGACGCCCTCCTCTTACCCTTGGCCGCCTTGCATCCACTTGGCATTGGCACGCCCCTGACTCACCACGTCGTTGCCGTCGTTGAAGAAGGCGAAGGTGACTGCCAGGGGCAGGTTGTGCACCGTTAGGGGTATCGGGTCGTGCTCCTGGGGGTTGAAGTGATGAGAGGGAAGCAGGGAGGTGGAGTGTGGGAAGAATGCGAAGGTGACTGCCAGGGGCAAGTGCGCCGTCAGTGGTATGGGGCCACGCTCTTGCTGTGAGGGGAGGAAGGGGTGGGAGACAGGGCAAGAACGACAGAGGAAGCACAGGGGTGGAGGGTGCGAATAAGAAGGCGAAGGTGCCCCCCCACATGGCAGGCTGTGTACTGTGAGTCGTAAGGGGTCGCGCTCCTGTAGGGGGAGGGGAGTGAAGTGAGGAAGAGGGAGAGCGAGGCAGAGAGGATGGCTGTGAGTGTGCGCGTTACGGGGTCACCGCCACGCTCCTGCAAGGGAAGATGAGGGATGAGGATGGATGCGCACGAGAGGTGAGCATAGAAGAAACTTTGGACGCACTGTATGGTGTAAGGGTATGTCGGAGTCACTTTTGAGAACTTTCACAAATGACAGTGTGGGGTATGGTATGGGGTATGGTATGGGGTATGGTATGGGGTATGGTATGGGGTATGGTATGGGGTATGGTATGGGGTATGGTATGGGGTATTGTATGGGGTATGGTATGGGGTATGGTATGGGGTATGGTATGGGGTATGGTATGGGGTATGGTATGGGGTATGGTATGGGGTATGGTATGGGGTATGGTATGGGGTATGGTATGGGGTATGGTATGGGGTATGGTATGGGGTATTGTATGGGGTATTGTATGGGGTATGGTATGGGGTATTGTATGGGGTATTGTATGGGGTATTGTATGGGGTATTGTATGGGGTATGTCGGAGTCACTTTTGAGAACTTTCACAAATGACAGTGTGGGGTATGGTATGGGGTATGGTATGGGGTATGGTATGGGGTATGGTATGGGGTATGGTATGGGGTATGGTATGGGGTATGGTATGGGGTATGGTATGGGGTATGGTATGGGGTATGGTATGGGGTATGGTATGGGGTATGGTGTGGGGTATTGTATGGGGTATGGTATGGGGTATGGTATGGGGTATTGTATGGGGTATTGTATGGGGTATTGTATGGGGTATTGTATGGGGTATTGTATGGGGTATTGTATGGGGTATGGTATGGGGTATTGTATGGGGTATTGTATGGGGTATGGTATGGGGTATTGTATGGGGTATTGTATGGGGTATTGTATGGGGTATGGTATGGGTATTGTATGGGGTATTGTATGGGGTATTGTATGGGGTATTGTATGGGGTATTGTATGGGGTATTGTATGGGGTATTGTATGGGGTATTGTATGGGGTATTGTATGGGGTATTGTATGGGGTATTGTATGGGGTATTGTATGGGGTATTGTATGGGGTATTGTATGGGGTATTGTATGGGGTATTGTATGGGGTATTGTATGGGGTATTGTATGGGGTATGGTATGGGGTATTGTATGGGGTATGGTATGGGGTATGGTATGGGGTATTGTATGGGGTATTGTATGGGGTATGGTATGGGGTATTGTATGGGGTATTGTATGGGGTATTGTATGGGGTATTGTATGGGGTATGGTATGGGGTATTGTATGGGGTATTGTATGGGGTATGGTATGGGGTATTGTATGGGGTATTGTATGGGGTATTGTATGGGGTATTGTATGGGGTATTGTATCGGGTATTGTATAGGGTATTGTATGGGGTATTGTATGGGGTATTGTATGGGGTATTGTATGGGGTATTGTATGGGGTATTGTATGGGGTATGGTATGGGGTATTGTATGGGGTATTGTATGGGGTATTGTATGGGGTATTGTATGGGGTATTGTATGGGGTATGGTTTGGGGTATGGTATGGGGTATGGTATGGGGTATGGTATGGGGTATGGTATGGGGTATGGTATGGGGTATGGTATGGGGTATGGTATGGGGTATGGTATGGGGTATGGTATGGGGTATGGTATGGGGTATGGTATGGGGTATGGTATGGGGTATGGTTTGGGGTATGGTATGGGGTATGGTATGGGGTATGGTATGGGGTATGGTATGGGGTATGGTATGGGGTATGGTATGGGGTATGGTATGGGGTATGGTATGGGGTATGGTATGGGGTATGGTATGGGGTATGGTATGGGGTATGGTATGGGGTATGGTATGGGGTATGGTATGGGGTATTGTATGGGGTATTGTATGGGGTATGGTATGGGGTATTGTATGGGGTATTGTATGGGGTATTGTATGGGGTATTGTATGGGGTATTGTATGGGGTATTGTATGGGGTATGGTATGGGGTATTGTATGGGGTATTGTATGGGGTATGGTATGGGGTATTGTATGGGGTATTGTATGGGGTATTGTATGGGGTATGGTATGGGGTATTGTATGGGGTATTGTATGGGGTATTGTATGGGGTATTGTATGGGGTATTGTATGGGGTATTGTATGGGGTATTGTATGGGGTATTGTATGGGGTATTGTATGGGGTATTGTATGGGGTTGCACTCCTGGGGGAGGGTGAAGTGACGAGGAGGGGTGGCAAGGGGGAGGGAAGAAGGGAGGAGGACGGGAGGTGGGATTGTGTGGAGGGGTGAGTTGTGATTGAGCGCAGGAAGGAGATGGCGCAGTGCGAGCGAGTGAGTGTAAGAGGTGTGGTGGGGAACCCTGTCTACCCACACCTCTCCAGTGCACTGCATGTCTGCGACAAGATGACCGGCAGAGAGCGAAGCGAAGGATGGAGTAGAGAGCAACGGACGCTTGTGTGAAGCTGAGGCGCTCACCTCCACTGAGTGCACCACCACTTGCATGCCATCGTCCCCCCCCACTGTCACTTCTGGCCGGCGGAACGCCAGCAGCGCTGCTACGGCAGCTAGACAGCATGCGTCCACCAGGTTGCTGGGGAGTGGAAAAGGAGAAGAGACGGAGAGAGGGAGGAGGGTGGAATGGGGTACAGAATGGGTAAAGATGGAATGCTTGCTGCACAACGGTCCTCCACAAGGTTGCTGGAGTTCAGGACGCGAAGGAACGGAAGAGGAAATGGAGGAACGGGGGTGGTAGTTTGGGAGAGAGGGAGGGAGGTACAGATGGAATGGAATGGTTGCTGGGCAGCACAGCACACCGAATTGCTGGAAAGGGAGGGAGGGTCGGATATGTGGAGGGCCTAGAGAAGGCGGTTTTTGAGTGGAGGGGCTGCTACTTGTGGATACTTGTGGCCGGCGGAATGCCAGCACCGCTGCCACCGCTGCCAGATAGCACGCGTCCACCAGGTTGCTGGGAAGACACGAGGGGAGAGGAACAAGGGGGGTGCAGGTACACATGGATTGGATTCGCGTTTGAGGTAGGGACACACACACACACACACACACACAGACACACACACACACACACACACACACACACACACACACACACACAAGCAGCATGCATGCACCCATCGTTATCCATGACTCGAACATCCAGCCTGAGTGAGCCTGTAAAGCACCACACACTCACACTCACCCACACACACACACACACACACACACACACACACACACACACACACAAGCAGCACGCACCCATCATTGTCCATGACTCGAATGTCCAGCCTGAGCGCCCACGCCGCCCTCCCCGCCACCACACACAGCGATTCTGTGTCCACTGCATGGCTCTCCCTGTGTGGTGCGGAGTGATGAAGTGGTATGCATGGGAAGGGAACACAGCAACCAACAGTTAGGGCACACAATAGTCGCCCCCACCCACAGCGACTCCGTGTCCACCGCATGGCTCTCTCTGTGCGTGGGGTTGGGGGGTGGAGATGGGGATGGGGATGGGGATTGGGATGGGGATGGGGATGGGGATGGGGATGGGGATGGGGATGGGGATGGGGATGGGGATGGGGATGGGGATGGGGATGGGATGGGATGGGGATGGGGATGGGGATGGGGATGGGGATGGGGATGGGGATGGGGATGGGGGTGGGGTTGGGGGTGGGGGTGGGGTTGGGGGTGGGATGGGATGGGGATGGGGATGGGGATGGGGATTGGGGTGGGGATGGGGATGGGGATGGGGATGGGGATGGGGATGGGATGGGGATGGGGATGGGATGGGGATGGGGATGGGATGGGGATGGGGATGGGGATGGGGATGGGATGGGGATGGGGATGGGATGGGGATGGGGATGGGATGGGGATGGGGATGGGGATTGGGATGGGGATTGGGATGGGGATTGGGATGGGGATTGGGATGGGGATGGGGATGGGGATGGGGATGGGGATGGGGATGGGGATGGGGATGGGGATGGGGATGGGGATGGGATGGGGATGGGATGGGGATGGGGATGGGGATGGGGATGGGGATGGGGATGGGGATGGGGATGGGGATGGGGATGGGATGGGGATGGGATGGGGATGGGGATGGGGATGGGGATCGGGATGGGGATGGCACAGAGCCCTCGTTGGCACAGAGCCCTCGTTGGCACAGAGCCCTCGGGATACCACGACTCTCAGTCAGCCGCACAGTCACAAGCCCTTTGTGACCCTCCTGCCCTTCTAATAAATAAGGCTGCAGAGTGCCTTATCCTTACCAGACTCTTGTGTCATATCACAGTCAATGATGCGTCCCAGCTCTATCGCATCTTCCCCCGGTCACCCGGGCACGAAGCGCGTGTCCACCATGGGGGCGAGCTCCATGAAGACGGCCAGGGAGCCCTCGTTGGGGCGGTCGGTAGAAAGCGCTCTGGGCACCTGCCGCCCCTAAAGGCGACTGAGAGTCCGTGATAATGTGCCCCGAACTGGAAATACATGAATCAATCGCCTTCACAGAAACCCTATCGAGCAAGGGACGATCCTCACCTGAGCCTGCGGTCAATGATGCGTCCCCGCTCTATCCCCTCTTCCCCTGGGCGCCCGGGCACAAAGCGTGGATCGGCCATGGGGGGAGAGCTCCGTGAAGACGGCCAGGGAGCCCTTGATTGATGACAGACAGGCAGCAAGCCCTCTGGGAACCCTATCCGCACCCTCACCTGAGCCCGCGGTCAATGATGCGTCCCAGCTCTATCGCATCTTCCCCCGGTCACCCGGGCACGAAGCGCGTGTCCACCATGGGGGCGAGCTCCGTGAAGATGGCCAGGGAGCCCTCGTTGGGGCGGTCGGTAGAAAGCGCTCTGGGCACCTGCCGCCCCTAAAGGCGACTGAGAGTCCGTGATAATGTGCCCCTAACTGGAAATACATGAATCAATCGCCTTCACAGAAACCCTATCGAGTAAGGGACGATCCTCACCTGAGCCTGCGGTCAATGATGCGTCCCAGCTCTATCCCCTCTTCCCCTGGGCGCCCAGGCACAAAGCGTGGGTCGGCCATGGGGGGAGAGCTCCGTGAAGACGGCCAGGGAGCCCTTGATTGATGACAGACAGGCAGCAAGCCCTCTGGGAACCCTATCCGCACCCTATCCGCACCCTATCCGCACCCTATCCGCACCCTATCCGCACCCTATCCGCACCCTATCCGCACCCTATCCGCACCCTATCCGCACCCTATCCGCACCCTATCCGCACCCTATCCGCACCCTATCCGCACCCTATCCGCACCCTATCAGCACCCTATCCGCACCCTATCCGCACCCTATCCGCACCCTATCCGCACCCTATCCGCACCCTATCCGCACCCTATCCGCGCCCTCACCTGAGCCCGCGGTCAATGATGCGCCCCACTTCAATGGCATCCTCACCCGGCCGCCCAGGCACGAAGCGAGGGTCCGCCATGGGGGCGAGCTCTGTGAAAACGGCCAGCGAGCCCTCGTTGGGGCGGTCAGGGAAGGGCAGCGTGAGCGCTGCTGAGACTGACGCCAGGACGCGCGTGCTGCCCAGCTGCACCTCTGCTGTGCCGTCATCCCTGGAAAATGGGGCATGGGGGATGATGAGAGGAGCAGGATAGAGAGTCGAGGGGAAGGGCAGCGTGAAAGTGACTGACACGGAGACGAGAACGCGTGTGCTGCCCAGCTGTTCCTCTGCTGTGCCGTCGTCCCTGGGCATGGGAGCTAGGGAATAAGGGATGGGGGATGGGGATGGAGCAGGATAGAGCAGAGCAGGACGAGACGAGGGAAGGGCAGGGAAAGGGCTAATGAGACGTGCAAGAATGCAGGTGGTGTCCACCTGTACCTCTGCTGTGCCATCCACCCTGATGCGACCTGCATCAGAAAATTGGAGAGAGGGTTTGGGAAAAAGGTTTGGGGATAGAGTGTTTGAGGGGAGAGGGTTTGGGAGAAGAGGGTTTGGGGGAAGAGGGTTTGGGGGAAGAGTGTTTGGGGGAAGAGGGTTTGGGGGAAGAGAGTTTGGGGGAAGTGGGTTTGGGGGAAGAGTGTTTGGGGGAAGAGTGTTTGGGGGAAGAGTGTTTGGGGGAAGAGGGTTTGGGGGAAGAGGGTTTGGGGGAAGAGTGTTTGGGGGAAGAGTGTTTGAGGGAAGAGGGTTTGGGGGAAGAGGGTTTGGGGGAAGAGGGTTTGGGGGAAGAGTGTTTGGGGGAAGAGGGTTTGGAGGAAGAGTGTTCGGGGGAAGAGGGTTTGGGGGAAGAGTGTTTGGGGGAAGAGGGTTTGGGGGAAGAGTGTTTGGGGGAAGAGGGTTTGGGGGAAGAGTGTTTGGGGGAAGAGGGTTTGGGGGAAGAGTGTTTCGGGGAAGAGTGTTTGGGGAAGAGGGTTTGGGGGAAGAGTGTTTGGGGGAAGAGTGTTTGGGGGAAGAGTGTTTGGGGGAAGAGGGTTTGGGGGAAGAGTGTTTGGGGGAAGAGTGTTTGGGGGAAGAGTGTTTGGGGGAAGAGGGTTTGGGGGAAGAGGGTTTGGGGGAAGAGTGTTTGGGGGAAGAGGGTTTGGAGGAAGAGTGTTTGGGGGAAGAGGGTTTGGGGGAAGAGTGTTTGGGGGAAGAGGGTTTGGGGGAAGAGTGTTTGGGGGAAGAGGGATTGGGGGAAGAGTGTTTGGGGGAAGAGGGTTTGGGGGAAGAGTGTTTGGGGGAAGAGTGTTTGGGGGAAGAGGGTTTGGGGGAAGAGTGTCAACATTGACGGATTGGGAAAAGGCGTGTACGGGACAGGTGACGAAGAAGCAGGCGCGCGGGGCGGAATGCGGGGCGGAGGAGCCAGCAAGACGCATGAAGCAGGTTTTGTGGAGGAGAGCATGCCATCGCAAGTGAAGCTCTCATGGGCAGTGGAGCTCTCATGGGCAGTGGAGCTCTCATGGGCAGTGGAGCTCTCATGGGCAGTGGAGAGAGAAGGATGTGAAGGGTGTATGTAATGGGCGCACGAAAGACGAGGATTCCGGGATAGCGGCGGCATGACGGCGGGCGGCGTGGAAGTGTGCGACATGGACGGCACGAGGTGGGCAAGAAGGTGGGCAACGAAGTTGGGTACGTGGTAGAAGCAAGAATGTGGCGGGGTGCGCGTGATCATCGTGACACATGACGAGGGCATTCGAAAGCTTCCAAATGGCGAACATTCCAGGCGAACAGCTACGCTTAGCAAGGCACGTGGCTCTGCTGTCCCACACGTCGAGTTTGTTATTAGCTCCTCACTCGAGGATGGGTTAAGCCTATACCGCGTACAGTGGCTACCTGCCGAAAGAGACGTCCCAGGAGCGGTAATCGAAGGGCTTGCGGCCATCGACGCGCAGCTCGTCGCGCACCGCCGCGAGAATGAAGTCGCACTCGTTCGCCGACACCGTCGCCACTGCCCCCTTGGCGACCCCCATTGCGACGCGCTGCGACTGTCGCTGGCCTCTTCGTAAACCCGCCAAGTAAAAAAATAATCGACAAGTGAAAGCAGCGCAAAACCCGCACCTTTCTCCTGGGCCGCACGGATCGAACTATGTTAGGTCGTGTCACACATAGGTTACATAGCTTTCAGCGTGAAACTCACACAGCACAAGTAGTAGCACGACTCGGGCTGGTATGGAGCGGTTCAAGGTGGTAAAGCTAACAAACCGTTCTATAATATACAACATCGTAGTCAACCGCTTCAACTGAACAAAATGTTGAACCATGCGTGACACGCCCTTATAGCCCACTCTATTTTTTCACATTTCATGGGCGAGATTCTTTGGGGTGCTTGGTTTCGCGAAGCATGGGGGGTCACAAAAGGTCAAATTTTGGTTGGTTTTGTGCGATCCTCGTTCAGTTCGTGTTTTTGGAGAACACGCCGTATTGCGCCACGGGGAAGCTATTCTTTACACCACCGTGAAGCAATTTTACTAGGCCAGTGGAGATAGTAATTGCACGATTGTCGTCGTAGTCCTCAACCCGTATGTAGAGCAAAGCGAGTGACCTGTATCGAGGACAGAGACAGTGGCCTGTATCGAGGACAGAGAGAGTGACTGTATCGAGGCCACAAACTGACACTCATATAGGCGGATAACACGTAAAAGCTTTGCTGTTGCTGTTGCGGCGCTTCGCACTAGTCGAAGCAGCACCGACGTCCTCAGGAACTGAGACGTCTGTAGCAGCAGCAAAGGCGGAGGGGGAAAGGGGGGAGGGGGAGCACCCCTCAAAGAAGGGCGAGAGCGGAGTGCCACGAGCAGCACCTACAGCAACTGCACTAGTCTCAGCTGCGAGGAGATGCTGCTCGAGGAGGTCAACAGTGAGGGAGGTGGGGTCGAGGGTGAGGAAGTGGTCCCTGACAGAGCGAAGGGAGTCAGGGAGGCGAGTGACTATGAAGTAGAGGGTGATGAACATGGGGGGCTGGTTCGTGGGAAGGAACTCAGCAGGGACGGTAGCGCGGTAGCAAGCGTCGCTAGTGTGCAGGTGGGCAACCAGGTCCGCTACTGTGGCAAAAGCCGACAACTCAGGGAACAGGTAGGGCAGTAGCAGCCTGCCAATAGCAGCAGTGGCAGGGGAGGAGTAGCGAGCAACGACAGCGTCGTACAGGGCCTGTGCTGTCCTGTGCTCTCCAAAGTGAGCATATTCTATCGCAAGCAGGTGGTTGCGAATGGCCAAGCGGGCAGTAGCGTCACGAGACAGCCACTGGGAACGAGTCGAAACGTTAGCTGTGGCGGGAGGGGCTGGAGCGGCACCGGACACGTGGTCAAACAGTGAGACACTGTCCTTCAGATCGCTCAGTAGGTACAGTTGCAGATCGTCGTGCCACGTGTCAAATGCTAAAGGTCTGCCCCCCGGGTCGAACGGGAGAACTCTAAGCAACGCCATAGTGGCGCAGGACTCAGGAGCAGCAGTAGCAGTAGCTAAGGGGCCAAGGGGCCAAACAAGAGGGCCGAGGGGCCGAGGGGCCGAGGGGCCTAGGGGGCCGAGGGGCCAAACAAGAGGGACGAGGGGCCAAACACGAGGGCCAAGGAGGCCGAGCCTAGGGGCCGAGGCTAGGGGCCGAGGGGCCGAGAGGCGGGGCCGAGGGGCCAAACAAGGGGCCGGGCGCTGGGCAGGTACGGTGCCGAGGGGCCTAGGGGGCCAAGGGGCCAAACACGAGGGCCAAGGGGGGCCGAGCCCAGGGGCCGAGGCTAGGGGCCGAGGGGCCAAACAAAGGGCCGGGCGCTGGGCAGGTACGGGGCCGAGGGGCCTAGGGGGCCGAGGGGCCAAACAAGTGGGGGGGGGGGCGAGGAGGCCGAGCCTAGGGGCCAAGGGGCCAAACAAGGGGCCGGGCGCGGGCTAGGTACGGGGCCGGGCGCGGGCTAGGTACGGGGCCGGGCGCTGGGCTCTGAACTGGGGCCGAGGGGACTAGGGGGGGGGCTGAGGGGCCAAACAACGGGCCGGGCGCTTGGCTAGGTACGGGGCCGGGCGCAGGCTAGGTACGGGGCCGGGCGCGGGGTAGGTACGGGGCCGGGCGCTGGGCTAGGTACAGGCCGGTCGCTGGGCGAGGGACGGGGCCGAGCGCTGGCGTCGACGGGCGCGGGCTAGGGAAGGGGCCTGGCGCTGGCTTAGGAACGGGGCCTAGCGCGGGCTAGGTACGGGGCCGGGCGCGGATGTCAACGGGGCGCAGGCTAGGAACGGGGCTGGGCGCGGGTGTCGACGGGGCGCGGGCTAGGTACGGGGCCAGGCACGGGTGTCGACGGGGCGCGGGCTAGGTACGGGGCCGGGCGCGGGTGTCGACGGGGCGCGGGCTAGGTACGGGGCCGGGCGCGGGTGTCGACTGGGCGCGGACTAGGTACGGGCCGAGCGCGGGTGTCGACAGGGCGCGGGCTAGGTACGGGCCGGGCGCGGGTGTCGACGGGGCGCGGGCTAGGTATGGGCCGGGCGCGGGTGTCTACGAGGCGCGGGCTAGTTACGGGCCGGCCGCAGGTGTCGACGGGGCGCGGGCTAGGTACGGGCCGGGCGCGGGTGTGGACGGGGCGCAGGCTAGGTACGGGCCGGGCGCGGGTGTCTACGGGGCGCGGGCTACATACGGGGAGCAACACCCGAAGAGTAGTCATCTTTGGAGTGGGGGAGAAGGTCCGGAAGTAGTCGACCCCCTGTTGCTGACTGAAGCCTCGAGCAAGGTAACGTGCCTTGAAGGCAGGCGGAGAACCTGGCGGCTACTTCACTCTGAACATCCACATGCCATCGACTATGTTTGCCTCAGGAGGAGTAACCTTGTCGACGTAGGTGGACTTCCAGGAAGCCATTTCTGCGTCCATGGCTATCTGCCACTGAGAGGAGTACTCACCCGCGACCACCTCAGCGTAAGAGCGCGGGGTAGGGATGTCAATTTCATCCGGGTCTCCCTCAGGGCAAAGCACCATGGATACGAAACATGGTGAAACGGCCGCAAGTCACTCAAGCTCAAACTGCCTGTCCTCAAGGACGTCACTGCCAAGGACAGGCTCACCCCCGACGGACGGAGGATAGACAGAGTCAGACTCAGTAATAAGACTCGCGATGTAGTCGAGACGACTCCTAGCTGCAAATTCGACTAGCTCAATGACTAGGGCAAATGCAGCACTAGACTCAAAGTCAGGGTCAGTGACTACAGTAGCGAGGAGACGAGTGACAGTAGGACTGGCAGTACGAGCAAGGTCGGACTCAGGGTCAGGAACGTGCGGAAGAGAGGACGCGGGAGGCTCACGCTGGACAACACGATGTGGAATAGAGGAAGGACGAAGTGCCTTACCGTGAGTGCCTGGGACAGCAGGAGGACGAGGACGGGCTAAACGACGAGCACGAACAGGTGTGAAAGCACGAGTCTCAGGCTCACCACACTCAGTCAGGGACTTATTCACCTCAGTGTGAGGAGCAAGAGCGGGCAGCGGGGAGCCAGGCTGTAGCTGTGGCTGAGACTGGTCTGTCGGTGGACACAGGAGAGGTGGAGTGAGGCCAGTGGAAGACGGGAGACTAAGAACCTGGCGAAGGGCTGAGTCAGGCGGTGGAAGGGACGACTGCGGCTGCGGGTAGAAAAACGGTCGGCGCGGCGCAGTACCCGTACCGTCAGCAACTCTAGTACCTCCAGTACCTCCAACTCTAGCGCCTCTAGTACCAGCAGCACCTCTAGCACCTCCAGCACCAGCAGCACCAGCACCTCCAGTGCCAGCAGCTCCAGTAGTACCTCGAGCTCGGGCAGCTCTAGTACCTCTAGTACGAGCACCTCCAGGACCAGCAGCCCCGCAGCTCCAGCAGCACTAGAACCAGCACCTCCTGTGCCAGTGGCTCCAGTACCCCCAGCACCACCAGCAGCACATCTAGCACCTCTTGCACCAGCAGCACCACTAGCTACGGCAGCTCCAGCACCTCGAGTACGAGCACCTCAAGGACCAGCAGCTCCAGCACCTCCAGTACCTCCAGCTCCAGCGCCTCCAGCACCAGCAGCACCTCCAGCACCTCCAGCACCAGCAGCACCAGCACCTCCAGTGCCAGTAGCTCCAACACCTCCAGCACCAGCTGGACCTCCAGGACTAGCAGCTCTAGCACCTTTAGCACCATTAGCACCTCCAGGACTAGTAGCTCCAGCAGCTCCAGCACTAGCAACACCTCCAGTACCTCCAGGACTAGTAGCTCTAGCACCTCCAGCACCAACGGCACCTCTAGTACCTCCAGCACCAGCAGCACCTCCAGCACCTCCAGCAGTACCTCCAGCACTAGCAGCACCTCCAGCAGTACCCTCCAGCACTAGCAGCACCTCCAGCACCTCCAGCAGTACCCTCCAGCACCTCCAGCACCAGCAGCACCTCCAGGACTAGCA